TTAAACCACATTCATTCTGTGTCAGAAACCTATGCTGTGTCAAATATTTAATCACAATCCAAATTCAGTGCTGTATCAAGCTTGAATGTTGTGTCCATACTTGCCCCAACTGTTCAGGGTTCGACCTCTGCGGTCGTATCAAGCTGCGCCCAGCGGGCATTTTATTTTATTATAACATTGTTTAAAATCTGCTCATTCCATCTCCATTTCACGTTTGTTTGCCTTTTCCTTCATCACGGTTTTTCCCTCGCACTTGTGCTGTGTGATTGCCAAAGTTCAAACCAAAGGTGACCCAGTCTGAATGTCCTTTATAATAAATTTGTAAAACTGGTTTCAAAAACTCTTTTTAATTTATTAAGTAGTATTTCGAATAATAATATAAGGTTCCTACAGTTATTTGTTATGAATTGTCTTTTAATGTTAATTAGAATGAGTAAAAAGTATTTAAAACAATAAACATCTTTTCATAGGTCTTCATTATTCCTAGTCCTGTTTCACTTGACATGACAGATTACATGTATGTACAGATGAAAAGACTTGCCATCAAATTTGGCATGTGCCAACACAATTTTTAATTATACACTGACTGTCCTGGCAGATTTTTTAATATTGTGTTGTATAAAATACTAAAATTTCATATTTTCAAAAAGCTTATACTTCAAACTTTATAATGAAATCAGGGTTCTCACAAAGTCAAAGGCAATTCTATGAGTTCTGGACTCCTCATTTTCAAAACTGATGAGTCCAAAGATTGTAAAATGTTACATCGACTGAGCATTAAAATCATCGTTTTATACTATAAGTTAAAAAAATTATCTGAATTTAATGTCATTTCCTTGCTCAATTTTGTATCAGGGACTGAAATGATAAAACTTAATACTGTAAAATGTCATCTTCACACGGTTGGACTTGCCATGGCCAAAAATGATGAGTCCCAGGACTCGCCTTCAAAAATCTTTTGTGAGAACCCTGGAAATAATAAATTCATGCCAGACATGCATTTTAAAGAATATATTCAATGTTATACTTCGATTTTGAACAAATTTCTTGAAAAGTTCAGACATAATAAGCTACAAATGTACTCTCCTAGCATATTTTTTTACTTTTAAATCACAACAAAATTATGGATTTTTGGAATTGTTATGTCTTCAACTTTATAATAGTATCAAAATATTATGCCAGACAACATGGCAAATCGTTCTGCAGAAACTATTTCATTTATAAATAAAACAATTGGCAATTTCCTGTCATTTATACAACATATCAAGGTAATAGGCTACTGTCCTGGCAGATTATTTTTGGATTAATGAAATATAAGTTCATTAAATTTTATATTTTCATAAAGCTTATACATTTTTTGTTCTTTAAACTTTGCAATGGACATGCATTTTCTAGCATATATCTAACTTTATATTCTAATTTTAAACAAATTTCTTCAAAAGTTCTGAGGGCCTCAGTGGCCTAATGGTCTGCTGAATCTGGCACATGGAAGGTGTGTTTAACTCCACTCTTCATCGACTAGGATTATCAGTTTTCCTACTGATGGTCATTGTTCTCTGCAGGCACTCTGGCTTTCTCCACTAATAAAAACTGACAGCCACAAAATAGAATAATAGTGCTTAAATTGGTGTAAAACACCAATTAATCAAAAGTTCTGATGTACAAAAATGTATGTAATAGGCTACTGTCCTGGCAGATTTATTTACCTTTAAGAGATGATGATTGATTATGAATTTTTGGAATGATTATGCCTTAAACTTTATTATCGTACAAAAATATTATGCCAGACAGATGTTTTGTAGAAATTATTTCAATTATAGGTAAACATTCCTAGGAAATTTACACCATTTTTTTCTTAATATGTAACCATTGGTAACTTTCCTGGCAGATTTTTCATAACTTGTTAATTTTTATTTTTGAAAACTATATAAATAATATAAGTACATATTCTGTTCTTTGATATATAGTTTGAATTTGTCAATATGTTGAGTGAAACAAAATTTACAGGTGAAAACATATCGAAAATAACTTTCCTGGTTTTATCTGTTCTGTTAATAGACCTTGCCTTAAGAAGGAGACTCTTTAGCATGTTTAGTAAATGTTTAATTTATCCTAATTGAAAATCATAAACTAAGCACTATCTTAAAGTGAATTACATTTGTATATGAGGCAGTTGCCACCTGCAAAGGAGGATGAAGTCCATTTTATTTTGGAAATCTCATATACATGTACATGTACATTTGTACATTGTATAAAATCAGATACACAAGTACAATGTACATGTACAGTAGAGGAGTCATGTACATACACATTGTAGATATATTTTTATGGTCAATGATTGAATTTAGTAGTGTCAATCCCTATATACATGTAATGACCAAGTTCATGTGTGTGATTATGACCCGTGTATATAGCAAATCCCAAATACACTGTTTGGTGGTGCGCCTGACAGAGGACGAATGTACAGATAAGAGCCAGATCCAGTACATATCTGATATACATATACATGTATGTATACAAAGTTGCAGGAAATTGTATGTTTTACAGCATGTTAGCCCTGTCTACTGCATCAATATGCAAGTGCAAATGTTCTCTGATCACTCTTTATAGTAGACACATTGACTGCAATAAATTCTATGCTGGAAGAGGCTGAATCCTGGGTAGTTCTTTGGAACCTCTCAAGTAAGTATGTAAATTTTATTTTAAGTTGGTATATACAAATGTATGTACACAATATAATCACAACATGAGGTCTGTAACCAACAATGAATAGATCATTAGTTTCTAAAAAGGTGGACGTCAATATTAAAATGAAAGTATGTTTGTGTCAAAATGGTTAAGTAATTTATGTGTGACATACTTAATTATAAGCCTTGTATGTGTTTTATGACTTTTCCATAATAAAAAATTATCCAAAAGAGTTGTGATCAATATTGGTTGATCAATTTTGATAACTTAGTTATTAACCAATATACTATTGTTGACTGAAAATGATAGCATCACCATGCATTTGACCACAGGACATACACAAAGCACTATGACTAGTATGAGACACTGTGGTCCCTGGCACTTTAAAGGTCTGGGGATAGCATGGTATTGAATTTTATTTTTCAAAGAAATTTGCATGGAAAATTTGATACCATAGTATAAGATATTGTATATATATCGAGGTCTTCAATCATGTTATCAAACAAAGGAGATTTGTAGGACAGTAGCAATAATGTTGACATAAGTATAGTGAAGATCAAGTTTAAATGTTTCTTATGTGTATTTATACCCAAGGGAAGAGCATACTTGGATCAACTTAATTGTTTATTTGGTGTATTTATACACTAGGAAGGAACATAATAGGATCTTGGTGTTCCTTTGGTGTATTTAAACACTGGTGTTCCTTTGGTGTATTAAAACACAAGGAAGAAGCATAATAGGATCTTGGTGTTCCTTTGGTGTATTAATACACAAGAAAGGAGCATAATAGGATCTTGGTGTTCCTTTGGTGTATTTATACACAAGGAAGGAGCATAGTAGGATCTTGGTGTTCCTTTGGTGTATTAAAACACAAGGAGGAGCAGTGTTCCTTTGGTGTATTTATACACAAGGAAGAAGCATTATAGGATCTTGGTGTACCTTTGGTGTATTTATACACAAGGAAGGAGCATAATAGGATCTTGGTGTTCCTTTGGTGTATTTATACACAAGAAAGGAGCATTATAGGATCTTGGTGTTCCTTTGGTGTATTTATACACAAGGAAGGAGCATTATAGGATCTTGGTGTACCTTTGGTGTATTTATACACAAGGAAGGAGCATAATAGGATCTTGGTGTTCCTTTGGTGTATTTATACACAAGAAAGGAGCATTATAGGATCTTGGTGTTCCTTTGGTGTATTTATACACAAGGAAGGAGCATTATAGGATCTTGGTGTTCCTTTGGTGTATTTATACACAAGGAAGAAGCATTATAGGATCTTGGTGTTCCTTTGGTGTATTTATACACAATGAAGGAGCATTATAGGATCTTGGTGTATCTTTGATGTATTTATACACAAGGAAGGAGCATAATAGGATCTTTATGTTCCTTTGGTGTATTTATACACAAGGAAGGAGCATAATAGGATCTTGGTGTTCCTTTGGTGTATTTATACACAAGGAAGGAGCATAGTAAGATCTTGGTGTTCCTTTGGTGTATTTATACACAAGGAAGGAGCATAATAGGATCTTTATGTTCCTTTGGTGTATTTATACACAAGGAAGGAGCATAATAGGATCTTGGTGTTCCTTTGGTGTATTTATTTGTCTTGAAACCTTAACTCATGTAATCAATTTTTGAAACAAACATTTATGCTACATTATATAACCTAAATGTAAATTTCCAAGTGTTGTATCTAACAACTTTTGGTTAATATATATTTTAAATCTGTAATTGAATATTAAAAAAATACTGAGAAAAATCCAGTTCAGTAAATCAATATTTTTTTGGAGCATGAAGTAAATAGTAAAATGAAGGTTTGAATGCTTTAGTAAAGCAAAAATTATTAAAAAAAGAAAACACATGTACATATATCAAATATTGCTAATAATAAGTTATGTACTAGAATGTAGTAAGCAAGTCATTCCCATTTAACATTGACTTGAACATATTTGAAATATTTTTGTTTCTCTTGTCTTCCACAGTTTTGAACAAATCAAGGTTATTGAAATTGTCAAGACAGGACATTCAGATCTGAGTACATACATGTAACTTATGAAAACATTTAAATATTATAAAAGGCAATTACATGAAATAAGGTTCATAGACAAGTGTGTTACATATTCAGGTGACTTTTGAAATCTTCCTCACAACATTTAAAGAAATCTTAAGAATTGAGAATTTTTAAATATTGATACTTATGATAGTTTGATTTTGACTGTTTTAATTGAGAGTCAACTGACTTTAGATCAATAGTCCAGAATACTACACTGATTTGTAACATATATCATTTCTTTAACAAGGATTCTAAGATATTGTAGACAAGACTGCTAGCTTCGTTGCCAGAAATGGACCTGAGTTTGAGAGCAGAATCCGTCAGAATGAAATTAACAACCCTAAATTTAATTTCCTACAACAAAGTGACCCATACCATGCTTATTACCAGTATAAAGTGAAAGAGTTCAAGGAGGGCAAAGGTAGATTGTTTTACAAGTACAAAGTCCCAGAAAACAACAGTCATGAGAAGCTTGTTATGTTATGTTTTTACATTTATGATACTGCATTACTATAAACAAAATTATAATGGAGTGTATGTTTATCATGCAAAAGAAAAACAATGATTATTAAAGATTTGTCTAAAAATTATAGAAGAAAGGTTTTAGCCAAGACTTATAATAGCAATTAAACAAACTGAAAATTTTCAAAAAATCAATATAAAGACAGCACCAGATAATATAATAACAAATGAGTGACAAGGCATAGGTAAATGTAGCAAGTGGAAATAAGATAAATAATTTTTGACTCTTCTTGAAGGAATCGAAAAGTGAAGCTTGGGCATGTACGTTTTTGTTGGCGGTTTCAAGAATTTGTTAAAATTTGTGATTTAATAGGTCAGTTTTATAGGGAACCACTAATGGTAAATAAATGATATTTGGTTTGCAGTTGTATTAGTATTAGTAAATCTCATTTCCATAGAGATTATTTAGCCCTGCCTCCGTAGTCATGGTCTATGGACTCTAAAACAATTGCTTAAGTTTAATTGTTAAATTATTTCTATTTTAATTTCAACTTATGCATTTTACTATCAAAATTAAACAGTGAGACATATCTCTGTATCAACAGTTTATGAAACAGGTTAAGGTTTGCATTTGATAAACTATTTATCCTTATTGTTTTAGCTCAAGAACCAGCTGTTCCAAAGGTAAGTTATAACTGATGATAAAAGATTATTTTCTTAAATAAGTTACAAAGATAAATCTTGCCCTGGTTATCTGCATATACTAAAGATGCATTCAATCAACTAATATAGTAAAATAGTAAAATTCAGCATTGATGACATTGTTATTTTTTAATGAATACTTTAGAAGATCATTTATAAATTGGTTTTTCGAGAAAATGGCCTTGGACTTGATGGAGGAAGTAATAGTGTGACCTTATTTTTTAACAGCTAAGTAAGTTTGAACATAAATAATGGAAAAACAAAGGAAATGAAGTGTGCATCCACGACACCAAGTCAGTACATGCACAGCAAAAAAAAAACCAAAAGGCAAAGGAACAGCACTTTTATTGCTGTTCTTCATCTCAAAGTCACAGTGAGGCCTTCAACACGGAGCAAAAAAACTCTCACCGCACTGCAAGTTTAAGACGGCTCCTAGCACTGGCTTGAGGGGAATTCTTTGCAAAAATAATTTGGATAGACTTTGTAAGATGTAACACCACCAAGTCAGGCCCTGTCTATTTATGAGGGCCTCAGGGAAGATTAGTTTTATAGCTAACTGTGTAACCCTCTTTAAATCAAGAATTATTATTATTATGGTCAAAAAAGAACATTCAGGAAAGTAGTACATATTAAAAACAAAATAGTTCCTAGGTGTAAATATAAAACTTTTAGAATATATTTTAGTGATTAAGGTATCAGATGAAAGGTGAAGGACTGGTGATCCTTGTAGAACACATTGACCTGATAATTTTGAATAATACAAAAGTATTTGAATGAATTCTAAAATTGAGGGCATATATTGCGTGTTTCTCAGATATTAAGTACCTGTTTTGGTGTATTCAAAATTCCGGCTAAAAATTACGGTTGCATGTATGAAAAACGGTATACTGATCCCGCCCCCATAAAATGTTTGAAATTGAAAAACTAAAATACATACTTTGGTGACCTTCGGTTGTTGTCTGCTATTTGGTCGGGTTGTTGTCTCTTTGACATATTCCCCATTTCCATTCTCAATTTTATTTAAATGTTTAAATGATATTAAACATATTTTTTAAAGATGTCACAATTATAAGAATATAACTAAATGCCAATTAAGGTTGAATTGAAATGACAATAATAATTAAATAATTTGCAATTAGATCCTGTTTATCTTTTATTACAATAACAAATTAACATAGGGTTAACTGTTTTTAAAGGCAGTGCTTTAATGCCTTTCTAGTTGCCGTGTTAATCTTTCTTTCCGCGATATCCAACTTATCTACGTGGGGGGTCATTAGGCTCCAAGTAGATCCGGAAAATGTTGATTCTCTCCTCTTCTTATTGTGATATAAAATGTTTTTTGTTTCATTTCATTTACATTGGGAAATAGAGAAACGATCATTGTGTTTTGTTAGTTTTAAAAACTTTTGATATATTTGTATTTTTCATTATAAGCAGTCAACCGATTGACAAACTAGAATTATTTGAATTCCGTGTGGAAAGAGGTCGGGTTAATTTCGAGTGTTATCTGCAATCTAGATGTTTATAAATCATTTCAGTCGTTGATATAATAATTAAAGGTCGACTGAACATGAATTATATTATACAATTTAAAGCGCATTTCTGTTTATGCACGCGAACCCGTCTAACGTTATTGTTATTTCGCAGTTATATAAAGTAGCAAATTATCGTTCCTGAATAGGTGGCGCCGTGGTAGCCGATCCTGTTCTTCAATTTCCGGTTTCTGCACTGTGCAACTATTACAGTTGCATTTTTAATTAACGATGCCAAGTACTTGTTGTTGTGTACCTGGATGTCATTAAAGAGGAGGACATGCATTTCCAAATGACTTAAAAAGAAGGAAAAGTTGGATCAACGCCATGGCCCATACGCAGATTGGACGAGAACATGATGAAATCGTGGAGTCCATCTCAATCAGCTGTTGCATTGTTTGCAAGGCACATTTTACTGAAAAAGACTGCGTGCAGGAAACTGTTCATGGTAAAACTCTATTTTCTTTTTAAAATATATAGTTATATATGTAATCGCCATGCGAAATAACCAAAGTCTGTTTACAACCGCAATTATCGTTTTAGAATAAAAGGGGGTGGTTAATTCAAGACGTCATAATTTTTTGGATTACGATTCAATGTGATCTGTTTGAGATTTTTTGGTGCTTGCTACAATTATAGTGATTTCTTACAAGAGGTATATCATACTGAGAATTATTTTAGCAGTAATTATGCTAATGTAGTAATGACAGGAATGCATAAGCTATGCCTCATAGACTTTCTTGAAAAATATCAATGACAATGTTAACAGGAACAAAATGACATGCTCTCATCTATATTATAGTTATTTAGGTACAAACAATGTATGTTTGTTGCATACGTCTCTCATTGTTTGTCCTTTGGATTTACATAACATACATTTTGATGTACATTGAATCAGGCTAACATATTTTTATCCAGATTGTAATGAGTAAATCTAGTTAATATTTTGCCAGGTAGTATAAAGTATGCATTGCTAATGAAAGTTCATTTAATTATCAAAAAAACTAATGTTTTATAACCTTTTTCAGGGTGCAAACCCACCATACAGAGACTTAAGTCTACTGCCATTCCCAGCCTATTTTCCTGGACAAAGCAAGAGACTGAATCGTCCGCAAAAAGAAAAATCAGGGCAGTTTCCTGTGAAAACAAAAGAACTAAACTTGATGAATATTGTAGTAGAAATCTAGAGGAAAGTTTTGATTGTAAAGTTGGTTTTCCTGAAGAAGTCATTCATACTGCAGACATGATTTATGACTGTCCACCACCAACTGCCGAGCTAATGTTGAGCTTCACAGATGGAATTACGCAAACACCATCAATGCCTATATTTTCAGCAGAGAATTTTGACATGAAGACATGTGACACAGCCATGCATTTATATACCGGTTTAGAGTTGTAACTTGTATACTAAATTTTTATTTGTTTTGACCACACTTGGTCCAGCAGCACATTGTTTGAGATACATATATTTTCAAATTGATAGGGTGTCATTTGAAAATCAGTTTTTTTATGACTTTGATGAAATTGAGGCATTATACAACCAACTTTGAACTTTCTTGATTGAAACTAGTGTTAAGAATATTGTGTAAACATGGATTGTTTTTATGTCTAAACAGTGGCGTGAGGCTAACACTTGGCCATTTAGTGGTTTAGTCAGGTATTTTTCGCCATCCAACTTCAAATTAAAGTTTCCTACAACTTGGATTATTATTGACAGCACAGAATATCCCGTGATAAAACCTAAAGCTCCTAGAGCTCAGGCAACCTTTTCATCATATAAAAACAGAAACACTGAAAATACTTGTATGTTCGACTCCTGGTGGTTTAGTCAACTATGTCTCTAATGCATATGTTGGTTGTACCAGTGACTGTGAAATAGTTGAAAGATGTAGAATAGTTCAATTATGTGATCCAGGTGACAGTGTGATGGCAGACAAAGGTTTAAATGTGCATGATTTGTTTGCTCACTTTTTTCAAAAAAAGAAACAGAATTAGTTCCAAAACTCTTATACGGGATAGAAAAGTCTCCAATTAACACATGCACATAGAGCTAATTATTGGACTTGGCAAAACATACAAAATTCTAATAAATCCTATGAATGGAACTGAAACAAAACTTTCATCTGAAATAACATTTAGTTGTTTTATGTTGTGTAATTTTAGAACTTGTATTGTGCCAAAGGATGCATAAATAAAAGTGACGCAATGAAGTTTGTTCTGATATATATATATAAATATTATTTACAATTACATGCACATGTAAATTGTAATGCATATAAAAATAAGGAGATGTGGTATGATATTCAGTGAGTTTATCGAACCAAAGTGCATAAGAAATGGGTAAAGCAGTTGCAGGTGTTACTGTCACCGTGCAATCTCCAACAATTAGAAAAACTTGTACCGTGTAAAAAATTTCAGAGATCTTACAACTAAGTTTTGTTGTCTCACCTTGACTTTGGTGAATTGTTTATATTTGTTGATGTAAATATAAAAAAGAAGATGTGGTATGATTGCCAATGAGACAACTCTCCACAAGAGACCAAATGACACAGAAATTAACAGCTATAGGTCACAGTACGGCCTTCAACAATGAGCAAAGCACATACCGCACAGTGAGCTATAAAAGGCCCCAAAATGACAATGTAAAACAATTCAAACAAGAAAACTAACGGCCTAATTTATGTACAAAAAATGAACGAATAACAAATATGCAACACATAAACAAACGACAACCACTGAATTACAGGCTCCTGACTTGGGACAGGCACATACATGTACATACAGAATGTAGCGGGGTTAAACATGTTAGCGGGATCCCAAACCACCCCCTAACCTGGGACAGTGGTGTAACAGTACAATATAAGAATGAACTATAAAAATCAGTTGAAAGAGGCTTAACTCATCAGATGGATAAATACAAATACAAGTGGACGAGGCTGGGTAGTTGTACATCCAAACAACAAAAAGACACTAAGTACAGATCTGAGAGTACTCGCATTTACTGACAGCTAGTTCAAAGCCACTAACAACTGATAAAAAAATCTTGCATCTAAGACTAAATTATCAATCCGTAAGCTCCCTTTAGAATTTTATAAATTTTAGATTTTACATTTCTGAGTTATGGGGTTTTATTCATTAAAAAAGCGTGGATTTTCCAGTTTTTGGACAACAACTCAAAAATGCTTTAAGCAGTTCGCATGAAACTTTGGTGAATTATTTATAGCTATTGATGTTATCTCCCTATTGATTTTCATAAATTTCAAATATGACATTGAGAAGAAATTGAACTTTATTTGTTTATAGTCTGGCAACAGATTTATTAAGTATTGCACAACAGCACAGTGTATTGCACAACAGCAAGAAATCTTTAATTGAATATAAATTCAATTCATATAATCGATTTCAAGTTCTGTGACTACGTTTATTCAGAAACTATAATATGTCAAATATTTAATTTACAATCCAAATTCAGACCTGTATCAAGCTTGAATATTGTGTCCATTTTTGCCCCAACTGTTCAGGGTTGGACCTCTGCGGGTGTATCCAGCTGCGCTCAGTGAATCAGTTTATTTCTTAATTAAGAACTCCTTTTTGTCAAGCCTGAAAGCTCGACATAGGGATAGTGATCCGGCGGCGGCGTTGGCTATCTTCTTAAAAGCTTTATATTTTAGAAGGTGGAAGGTCTGGATGCTTCATACTTTGTATATATGGATGCCTCATGTTACGAAGTTTCCGTCAGTCACATGTCCAATGTCCTTGACCTCATTTTCATGGTTCAGTGACTACTTGAAAAAAAAGTTAATATTTTTTGTAATGTTAAATTCTCTCTTATTATAAGTAATAGGATAACTATATTTGGTATGTGCGTATCTTGCAAGGTCCTCATGCCCGTCAGACAGTTTTCACTTGACCTCGACCTCATTTCATGGATCAGTGAACAAGGTTAAGTTTTGGTGGTCAAGTCCATATCTCAGATACTATAAGCAATAGATGGAAGGACTGTAAGGTGTACATGTCCAACTGGCAGGTGTCATCTGACCTTGACCTCATTTTCATGGTTCAGTGGTTATAGTTAAGTTTTTGTGTTTTGGTCTGTGTTTCTTATACTGTATGCAATAGGTCTACTTTATTTGGTGTATGGAATGATTGTAAGGTGTACATGTCTAGCTGGCAGGTGTCATCTGACCTTGACCTCATTTTCATGGTTCAGTGGTCAAAGTTAAGTTTTTGAGTTTTGGTCTTTTTTTCTAATACTATATGCAATAGTTCAACTGTATTTGGTATATGGAAATATTTTATGATCTATTTGTCAGTTACACAGGTTTTTTTTTTACCTTGACCTCATTTTCAAGGTCAGTTGTTCAGTTTTAAGTTTTTGTGTTTTGGTCTGTTTTTCTTAAACTATAAGCAATAGGTCAACTATATTTGTTGTATGGAAGAATTGTTAGCTGTACATGCCTGCCTAGCATGGTTCATCTGACCTTGACCTCGTTTTCTTGGTTCATTGGTCAATGCTTAGTTTACTTGGTTAATGTTAAGTTTATGTGACAGTTGTAATAAAGCTTTATATTTAGGACTATCAACATAATATCAATGATTAGTAAAGAAGGCGAGACATTTCAGCATGTGCACTCTTGTTTCATTCATAAATTACTTTATACTTGGAAATATAATTTTGCTTGGAGTTATAGTTTCTAAAAAAAGTATTGTCATTGAAAGAGTTGACATGTTGCAATGTACATTTATTCTACATAGTTCTATGGTACCAAATCAAAAGTTTATATGAAAGAAAGAAGTGAAAGGTTTCCCATCATAGTTTAGTTACATAAATTTTTTTTGTACCTGAGGTCGTTGAATATAGATCATTATATAAATAAGGAGATGTGTTATGATTTCCAATGAAACAACTATCATCCATACATTGTACTTACCAGTCACAAACCACATTTGCAAAGTTGAATAAAATACAGTTGATAACATTTACTTATTACTAAAAAGAAAATGCCAAACTATTTTAAACAGTATTTGACTATAAACATAGATAAAAAAGATACAAACTGGACATAATGCACTAGTTCATAAACAAGTGAGAACAATCGCCTTCATATAGTGCTCAGAATATGACATTCATAAAACTTGTTCAATATCATTAGAGAACTCTAAATCTTAAATACTGAAAGCCACCTCTGATAAGTACAATGTACTATGCAAGATAATGATATAACTGGACTAAAAATACACACAACCTGTAATTAACTGCCTTTACAGCGCTTTCACGCTTTGATTGTCTCTTTGTCAAAATGTTGAACAGAGATGTTTTTATCAACATTAAGTTTATCTCACCTTATATACATTAAAAGGAGATTATACAACTCTACAACTATTTCAAAATGTTAAAGGGGCTTTGTATTTGATATGATTATAAATTGCATGTACTTTAGTAGTGATGTACATTTTGAAATTAAATTGTTAATGAAAACATGACACAACTTTTTGATAATATCTACTGATTTATTGCTCCATTAATATATTGACAACAGCCAGGTCAGTTGGCAGCTGTTCAGAAACAACAGGCAGAGCAAGCCAGATTGTTATTGGAAACTATTGTTCCTAAGGAACCACCACCAGAGTTTGAATTCATAGCTGATCCACCATCTATATCAGCTTTTGATTTGTAAGTAATATATATTCACATTCCAGTTTGATGATAGATACTTAAAGACCAACATTTAAACTATATAATGATACAGTGTTAGAAAATTTATGGTTATGAAGCTTTCATAATCCCCATAATGCCAAAAAAAATGTATGTGTTGCACATTTCCCGGCCAAAGCTAATGTTTGTATAAGGATTTACTCAAAACTTTTCATCAACATATCAGTTGTAGTAAAGGTATCTAATTTTAGCATAATATGCAACAGACTCAGAATTGCTTCTTCCATTGACAATTTCAAAATGGTGAAAGTTTTTTTTAAGTTATCTTTATGTTGTCTTTTAAGAAATGAAACAATGAGACAGAAAACACCCTTTAAAACATGAGTTGACATCTGTAAGAGGATACCCATTAAAACATGAGTGACATCATAAAGAAAACACCCTTTAAAGCTTGAGTTGACATCTGTAAGAATGAAAAATCGTGTGCATCACAAAATATTCTGCTAAATGCATTTTTGACATCTTATGAAACTTTCGTGATTTCAGAGACGTAGTAAGGCTAACAGCACAGTTTGTTGCTAGAAATGGACGACAGTTCCTTACAAACCTGATGAACAGAGAACAGAGGAACTATCAATTTGATTTCTTACGACCACAACACAGCTTGTTCAATTACTTCACTAAACTTGTAGAACAGTATACAAAGGTAAAAGATATTTCTAGTATCAAAGTATAACTTAGCTTGCAGTTTAAGATCACAAAGATGTGACGATACTAGTGTTATCAGGGGAGATAATCATCAAGTAGTAATTGTAGCAAACTGTTCTTTAGAGTAACCAGTCTTAAACCAAGTTTTACTGGGTTTTTTTCAAATGGTATAAACTGTAAGAAATAATTAGACCAGTGGGGCTCTCTTTGGGTTTCACTTCATTGAGATTGATAGAATTATCATTTGACCCCTGAACTTATATTATCATATCTCTTCACCAAGGGCTAGGTAACTGTTAGTTTGGATACCAAATAACTTGACATATCCAAAGTAGTTCTAGACCAAATTATGTCAAAATGATTACAAAACAATGCCATAAAAGTAATCCTTGAGTCTTGGCCATATGAAAAAATTGCATTGTACACATCTTTATAAAATGCGTGTCATATTAAAGAGTTATATGTAGAATATTTTGGACAATTATTTTGTTTTGATTTACAGATTTTGATTCCACCAAAAGACTTACAAGAGAAGTTAACAAAGGAATCTGAAGAATATAAAGAGGTACACAAAAATCACCAAATCTCAATTGCAAAGTGAATTAACAATTGTAAAAATACTACAACAATTCATTGCCAATATAATATTATTCCAAAAATAATGCACAGCTCCTAAAATTTTATTTAAATTTTTGACAAATTAAGTCAACCATTATAGTTCAAACAGTGTAATCTAGTACTGAATTTAAAAAGAACAACAAAGCGAACAAAGATAACTTAATTGATTCAAAATTAAATGTTTCCTATTTAAGGTATTACAGCAAGTAAAATACAGAGTAGAGTGGTGTAAATATCAAATCAGGGAGAGAAAGAAAGAAGAAGAAGCTTTAGAAAGAGAGAGAAGTAAGAAATCTTAATTGGTCTGTTCTCATTGATTGGTAATTGGTAGAATTGAGTAATGCTTTTCACATCTACCTACTTGCATTCTTTGGATAGCCAGATGGTTCTCTGATTATGCTTCAGTAATGTGTGGCTAACTGACCCAAAACAAGGTCAATAAACAATGTATGACTAAATGAACCAAAACTAAGCCAATGTTGCTAACTGAACCAAAACGAGGCCAATATTTCTGAAAAGCAATATGCAATAATACTATAATGAGACAAAGTACATTGTACATGATTCTTTGTTGGATATAGAAATTGTAATGTTTTGCATAAAATTTTGATTACCCTTTTTTTATACGACCGCAAAAACATTTTTGTGGTCGTATATTGGTATGACGTTGGCGTCATCGTTGTCGTCGTCCGAAGACACATTAGTTTTCGCACTCTAACTTTAGTTTATGTGAATGGATCTCAATGAAATTTTACCATAAGGTTCAATACCACAAAAGGAAGGTGGGGATTGATTTTGGGGGTTATGGTACCAAAAGTTAAGGAATTAGGGGCCCAAAAGGGGCCAAAAACAAGCAGTTTTCTAGTTTCATGACAATAACTTGTGTGTAAGTGTATGGATCTCTCTGACATTGTATCACAAGGTTCCATATCACAAAGGGAATGCTGGGGTTGATTTTGGGGGTAATTGCCTCCAATTTTTTGGAATTAGGGGCAAAAAAGGGGCAAAAAAAAAGCATTTTTCTAGTTTCATGACCATAACTTGTGTGTAAGTGTATGGATCTTTATGAAAATGTACTACAAGGTTCCATATCACAAAGGGAAAGCTGGAATTGAGTTTGGGGGTAATTGCCCAAAAAGTTTAGGAATAAGGGTCCAAAAGGGGCCAAAAATAAGCATTTTTCTAGTTTCCAGACAATAACTTGTGTTCAAAAGTATGGATCTCTCTGAAATTGTACTGCAAGGTACCAAACCACAAAGGGAAGGCTGGGATTGATTTTGGGGGTAATTCCCTCAAATCTTTAGTAATTAGGGGCCAAAAAAACAAGCATTTTTCTAGTTTCAGGACAATAACTTGTGTGTAAGTGTATGGATCTTTATGAAATTGTACTGCAAGGTTCCATATCACAAAGGGAAAGCTGGGTTTGAGTTTGGGGGTAATTGCCCTAAACGTTTAGGAATTTGGGGCCAAAAAACAAGCATTTTTCTAGTTTCCAGACAATAACTTGTGTTCAAGTGCATGGATCTCTCTGAAATTGTACTGCAAGGTACCATACCACCAAGGGAAAGCTGGGATTGAGTTTGGGGGTGATGAATCATAAGGGGGTTCAAAAAATTTGGGGGGGGTATTTTTGTTTCCTTTTTTTTCTTTTAAATTTTCCATTTTAAATTGGTTATTTCTGATTTATACATAAAAGCAAATAATAATAATTTGGTTTAAATAGGTAAATTAAAAAATTTTAAGTTCTTAGACCACTTTCATTCTGTGTGAGAAACCTATTCTGTGTCAAATATTTAATTACAATCTAAATTCAGTGCTGTATCAAGCTTGAATGTTGTGTCCATACTTGCCCCAACTGTTCAGGGTTCGACCTCTGCGGTCGTATCAAGCTGCGCCCCAGCGGAGCATTTTATTAACAGTTAAACAGTTTTTGATAATTTTTGATAATGTTACTAAACAAAGAGTTAAAAAAGCACAAGATTTGAATATAAAGACATGAATTTTTAAACCACATGCCAGTGTTGTGCATTATTGATGTTTCAATACTTATCTTTTATATCAAACTATAAAGCAGACAATATTCTCTTACAGTTGCTTACACACAGATAGACTGGCATGATTTTGTTGTTGTAGAAACAGTGGATTTCCAACCCAATGAACAAGGTAATACTAAGATTATGAAAATATAGATTTCCAACCAAAATATGAATACATTTTAAAATCAGACAAGAAAACAATATAGGCCCCTTACAGATAAAAAAGTTTAAATAAAAAACAGACTAAGAAATAGCTTAAATATTCTCTCACTTAAACTTATCTTAAAAATAGATAAGAGGACTAGAAATTAGAAAAAGCAGATATAATACTCAGTGAACAGGTTTGGATACCAATCAGAAGTTGAGAATTTAATCTCTGCTAAAATAAATGATTTTTCAGTATATTGATCTCCATTTCAGGTAACTTTCCACCACCCACTACACCAGATGAAGTTGGAGCCAGAATTCTTATGCAGGAAAGAGGAGGAGAAAAGGTATTTATAGGAAGTGTCATCATAGATTTCATCGTTAAATGTAAAATGAATTACAAGCTTAATGCCATATAAAATTTTCTACCCAAGCTTAGATTTGCTCTAAATTGATGTTTAGGTAATTGACATTGTTCAGCAGTAGCTTGAAAATTAATTTATTGTCAGTTGACATTTTATACAACAGGCTAAAATAAGGTTATGAAGAAAACTTGAAAAGATTGTAGGTATTACAGGAACTATCATATGATATCATTATAAGTTCTAACTATTTTATATAATTGTTTAGGCAGATGATCAGATGGAGGTAGAATCAGATGAGTCTGAAGAGGATGAGGATGGAGAGGAGGAAGACTTTGACAATGCTCCTACGCCTCCTCTTCCAGAGGAAGATTTACAGGTTAGATACCACAGACAATGCTCTTAGCCCTCCTCTATGCGGCTTGTGACATTTAAGCGACTGATCAGCTCGTAGTCAGAATTATGTGTCTGGGGGTGGGGTTGACATGTTTTCCTGCAGACTGTTACCTTGTGAACTAGCTTTATATAAATCTGACTCAGTCTGTCAGTCTAGTACAAAGCACGGTCAATATTAATATCACGTTATCATGTTCTAGTACAAACCAGGATTTATATTATTATCCCGTTATCATGTTCTCCTGTCAGTCTAGTACAAACCAGGGTTTATATTAATATCCCGTTATCATGTTCTCCTGTCAGTCTAGTACAAAGCAGGGTTTATATTTATATAGCATCATCACGTTCTCCTGTCAGTCTAGTACAAAGCAGGGTTTATATTTATATAACATCATCATGTTCTCCTGTCAGTCTAGTACAAACCAGGGTTTATATTTATATAACATCATCATGTTCTCCTGTCAGTCTAATACAAACCAGGGTTTATATTAATATCACGTTATCATGTTCTCCTGTCAGTCTAGTACAAACCAGGGTTTATATTAATATCACGTTATCATGTTCTCCTGTCAGTCTAGTACAAAGCAGGGTTTATATTAATATCACGTTATCATGCTCTCCTGTCAGTCTAGTACAAACCAGGGTTTATATTTATATAACTTCATCATGTTCTTCTGTCGGTCTAGTACAAAGCAGGGTTTAGATTTATATAACATCATCATGTTCTCCTGTCGGTCTAGTACAAACCAGGGTTTATAATAATATCACATCATCATGTTCTCCTGTCAGTCTTGTACAAAGCAGGGTTTATACTAATATCACATTATCATGTTCTCCTGTCGGTCTAGTACAATGCAGGGTTTATATTATTATCCCGTTATCATGTTCTCCTGTCCGTCTAGTACAAAGCAGGGTTTATATTATTATCCCGTTATGTTCTCCTGTCAGTCTAGTACAAACCAGGGTTTATATTTATATAACATCATCATGTTCTCCTGTCGGTCTAGTACAAACCAGGGTTTATATTTATATAACATCATCATGTTCTCCTGTAAGTGTAGTACAAACCAGGGTTTATATTATTATCCCGTTATGTTCTCCTGTCAGTCTAGTACAAACCAGGGTATATTAATATCACGCTATCATGTTCTCCTGTCGGTCTAGTACAAAGCAGGGTTTATATTTATATAACATCATCATGTTCTCCTGTCGGTCTAGTACAAAGCAGGGTTTATATTTATATAATATCATCATGTTCTCCTGTCAGTCTAGTACAAACCAGGGTTTATATTTATATAACATCATCATGTTCTCCTGTCGGTCTAGTGTTTCTGAACCGCCTTGATGGTCTCATGGTAGTCTGCTCACCTTGAGTGTGGGAGGTTGTGGGTTCAATCCCCTTCCGGGTTAAACCAAAGACTTGAAAGTTTGTACTTTCTGCTTCCGTGCTAAGCACACAGCATGTAGGAGTAAGAGCAAAGACTGTTCAGCTCAGAGTCAGAATAATGTGTCTGGGTAGGGTGTCATGTCTTCCTGCTGAATTCCTACCTTGTGAACTAATAAGTTAAAAAATCTGGCTCAGCGTGTAAGTTTAGTAGAAAGATGGGTCTATATTCATATCAAATTAACATCTTCTCATCCTGAGTATGTATTTAATTTGCCAGTGGACATTAAATAGCCATTCATCCATCCGTCAGTTTCTATTCTTAAAAAATACAAAATTGTTCTAGTTTGGAATTTATATTCCAGTGATATAACCTGATAGGAACTTTTTTTTTTCCCACTAAAATATTTACCATAGCATTGAAGCAAGACCTGAAGGAGTTGGACCCATAGATTCTTAATAATTCTAAATCGATCAACAAAAAACTCAAGTTGTAAGTCATGTCAGTACTAAAGCACCCACAACTTAACTCATGGCATCTCAAAATCTCGCTAAAATAAGTTTATGAAAATACCAGTGAATGCATTAATCTGATGTTAGATTTGGCTATAATGGCAAGCTACAATGGCCACTAAGAGTTTTGAAATTTTTGCTAGAATGTCCTACCTAAGGAAGACTTACAGGTAACACAGATTTTGTTGGTACATAATATAGTAGTTTTCTATTACTTCCTATCATGGTTGAATGTTCCAAAAAAATGATTATTTTCAATTTAAAAATCTATTTTATTTGAATTCATTTAAATCCATTCGCAAGTATATCTATATTCAAAAAAATGTAACACATGCCCTCTGACTAGTAATAAATAAGTATTGTTGCTTCATCAAGAAAATGTTCAAAGTTATTTAGAAATATTCCAAATAAACAAATTTAATGATGCATTATCTTTCTATAGGAGATGGAAGGAGAATCTGAGTCTGAGGAGGAAGAGGAACCAGTGAAGATCCCAACTCCTGCTCCACCTCAGCCACCTATGCCACCACCCCCACCGCCACCCAGTGAAATACCACCATTACCCCCAACACCTGATCAAGTCATCATCAAGAAGGATTACAACCCTAAAGGTTTGTTTACTGTAATCACAGGAATCTATCGCAAAAAATATTCAAATCTTCTTTATATAAATTTTTGTCTGTATAACAAAATAGTAGTTTTGAATTAGTGACTCAAAATGGTATTATATTTTGCTTTTATTCAAAATCATGAGAGCCTCTGAAAAATATTAATATGCTTGCTCTCTGTATAAAAACACTACAGTTTCATGATATAACTTTGTTTAGAATGGTACTATTAGAGTATTTGAATAAAATATTAACATAAATAATTGTATGGTTTTGTTGACAGCTCGTCCTACTATGGGAGAAATAACCACAGACATGGTGTCACCAATTACTGGAGAGAAAATACCAGCACACAAAGTTCAGGAGCATATGAGGATAGGTTAGTAGTATGGTGATAGAGGTGTTGTAATCCTTTCTTGTCTGTCATTGTATATCTCTTACCATTTCTCTGTTCCAAGACATTCTCCTGCATAAGGATTGACCATTCAAATTTGTATCTGCAAACCTTTTCTTTAGTTCATCAGATTTGAAATGAATAGGCTTATGCTACAAACGTGATGACAGACCAGCATTATATTTCTGTGTTTGATTACAGAGGTATGAAAGACACAAAAGACTAATGCTTATCATACATAAATGTCAATAAAATGTAGCAAAACCCTCTTTACAGAGCATACATACATGGCACTCATGACATAATCAGATGGCGATTTCGATAACGACACCAATGACAAAACTAGATTTTGATATCGACCATGTCGACTCGATATTCACTGTATATCAATGATGACTTAAGATAATGAAATATAATAAGACATATCTAGCAGATCAAATTAAGTCCGTATATAATGATTGATATAGGGTGAGATGATGGCTACATTGTTTTCAATTTACTTATTTCCATTGTATTTAAACAAGACAATCAAGTGGTCACTCTTCAAATTACTGTATTCTTTAAAAAAACAAATTTCATTTGGTTGCATAATGTTGACATGGTAATTTAGGTGATAACTAGGTTAAATGTGGTTACATTTAAGACCGTTAAATTACAGATACAGTTAAAACATGACTAACTATGTAAAATTTAAATCCATAGGATGTGAACTGTTTCGTATTTCAAACGGGGAAAACATGGTTTAATCAGTGGTTGAAATTAGATTTTAACGTGATTGAATAGTTTGGAGTACTCTTAAGATGGTTACTTTGTGATTTTGTCTATTTATTGTTAGTCTTTGTGCCCATCTGATCAGTCAAGCCTTTTCCAATTGATTTGTACATTTTGCATTTATTTATTGATACTACACCATCATCCTAGATTTAAGGGAAGGGGTGAGCATGTTTAACCCTGCCACATCCTCAATATGACTCACCCCACTTTGGAGCTCTCGTCGAAGTATTAAACAGACTTATCAGGAGAAACTAAATTGTCTACATAGACAACTGTAGCTGATGGAAATTTGGAACATAATTTGTCTATATTGACATTTTAAACAGACGAACCAGGAGAAACTAAATTGTCTATATGACAATGTGCCAAGTTTAAAGGCTGATGTTGTGTTTGCTGTAACACATATAGTAAAAGGTGCATCATTGATATTGATTCAATATCATTGATGTTGTTGATATCGAAATAACATCGTTTCTTGAATATACCTTTTACAGAACCATTCTGTTTAGTTTTTGTGCTGATTTCTTCATTATTGCTTACACTGAAATGAAATATTACACATTGATTAATCATAATACATTGATGTCCACAAACAATTTCATCAAAAAAATTTGAATACTATAAAATCATTTATTTTTTGTGGGTACCAATTTTCGTGGATTGAGGAAAACTTGCATTTTCATGGATATTTGATTTCGTGGTTTTCAAAAAGCCTGCATATAATCATACAGCAAATTTGTAATTCATTGTACATTTAAATTTGTGGCTCCCCTCAACCCATGAAATCCACGAAAATTGGTATCCCAACGTATAATAGTGAATCCAAAGTACTCTTAAATATGAAAGTTGTGCATAATGAGTTTTGTTCCTTTCACAGCTTCCATTGAGGGAAATGAAGTTTTACATCATTGTTGGCCTTCTGTTTAAAAAGGGTCCTTGTTGATGTGTAAAAGTTCTAGTTTTACACAGAATTAATTTACCTTAAAGTATAAAGTTCCTTATTCTTAGAATTATTTCAATTCTTAAAAGTATTAAGCTCCTTTTAAAGTATAATTTTGAATTGAACAGGATTACTTGATCCTAAATGGATTCAGGAAAGACAGAGAGCTATGAATGAGAAGAAGGAACAAGAAGAAGTGTATGCCCCTGGAGTTTCTATTGAGAGCAGTCTGAAACAGCTGGCCGAGAGACGTACTGATATCTTTGGGGTTGGTGTAGAAGAAACACAGATCGGTAAAAAGGTGAGTACTTGTTTTCAACAATGTTTCATTTCATTATTTCTCCTTAAACATGAAACCAGTTCACAAATTCTCACATCTCTGCTATAAGACATTTAAGATATATGATAGATGATATTTAATAAATATGTTTACTTATTAAATATCAGTATATTAAGTTTTTATCCCCACCCTGTGGCGGAGGGGGCATTAAGGTTACAATACACCATTAGATTTTATGGGCGCAGCCATTTTATGAGCATAACATGGTATTCAGAATTAAGAGTATAGCTAATCCTGATTGGTTGATATGTGCGCCCGTTATTTTTTGTTATTAGAGACTTCGTGCATTCTGCATTATACCAAAGGCCAAATAAAATATTTTCCTTAGCCCTAACGGAACTGAGATGTCTTTTAAACGCTAGGATGAGACACGTATTTTTAAGTGCAAAATTGATAGGCATGGGAGATAAGTACAAATTACGCTAAGAAAAGCAACACGAACCTATATTTTTTGGACCAAAAAATACTGTCCTAATAACTTTTCTTTAATTCTAGCAAGGTTTCGTTAAAAAAATCAACTTTCTAAAGTCTGTATCTCGAAAAAGGCTATCATTGTCGCCTATGGGGAAATTAATTGTTTATTTCAATCTATACAGCGTCGACATTTCTTTATCATAGTGCTCAAAAAGTGTCAAAAACAGTAATTTTACTTGATATTTGATGTGAAACCGTATTTTTTGGTGACAAATGAATTATTGATTAACTAGTTTTTAAGCTATAGTCTGTTTCATATTTGTATTGCGTTTTACCTTAGAAACAAGGGTGGGTTCGACTTTTGACTTACTGTGGAGAGAATATGTCATTTTCTGAACTTCTGCTGATTTGTTTGAAAAAAGCACGTACACGTCTAGAGTTTCAATATACAAATCGATTTTTAAACATGACAATCTAGATCCAAGTGCTGTTATCGAAATTACCAAATTCAGTGAAAATGTACAGAAATGATCCCCTTCGAACATTGAAATGTTCACTCGAATGGCAGACTATAAAAATTAGAATAGGCATGACATTTTGTAGTTAACGAATAGTTTTCGATGTTTAAACACAAATATTTACACATTTTTCATATTTTGAAATGCTATAGTCTGTTTCAAAAATGTACTTTTATACGAAAATGGTTTCATTTAAAACTGTTGTTCAAAATTCACCGTAGTAGTTACATATTGGATCGGTTTTGGTATCAATATAATCAGTACTTGATGACATATAAAGAATCATTGGAGAAAGTGGACATTATCTTCAGGCCCTTTTTAGCAGTACCGCATTTACTCAAAAAATCAGAAATTTTTTTTCACATTTTTTGACTGGGGTCACCTCTGATAAAAAATTCTGAAAATTCAGAGAGTAATGCCAGAACGTTTTGAAGATGATTTTTGTGTGGCATATATATTAGTGCATCTAACAAACTATGAATTGCATGATTCTAGAAAGTATTAAATACCGTATAGGTTACAATACACCATTAGATTTTATGGGCGCAGCCATTTTATGAGCATAACATGGTATTCAGAATTAAGAGTATAGCTAATCCTGATTGGTTGATATGTGCGCCCGTTATTTTTTGTTATTAGAGACTTCGTGCATTCTGCATTATACCAAAGGCCAAATAAATTATTTTCCTTAGCCCTAACGGAACTGAGATGTCTTTTAAACGCTAGGATGAGACACGTATTTTTAAGTGCAAAATTGATAGGCATGGGAGATAAGTACAAATTACACTAAGAAAAGCAACGCGAACCTATATTTTTTGGACCAAAAAATACTGTCCTAATAACTTTTCTTTAATTCTAGCAAGGTTTCGTTAAAAAAATCAACTTTCTAAAGTCTGTATCTCGAAAAAGGCTATCATTGTCGCCTATGGGGAAATTAATTGTTTATTTCAATCTATAGTGTTACCCTTGTCTGTCCGTACGTCCGTCCATTCTAGAGTTATGCCCCTTTACAAATGGAAAAATTGCTGAATTTTTTGTTTCCATTCTTTAACTTAAGTTTGCCTCAACCAAATGTTACAAAACTTATACACAATGCTTATCACCATAAAACACAGATCAAGTTCTAAGTTGGGTGGCATCACTTTTACAGTTCTCTATGTATGTAGCTAGTTATATCCCTTTATAATGTTATATGCAAGCAGGGGCATCATCTGTGTCCCATGGACAATCTGTGTCCCATAGACACATTCTCCATTTTTTCAGATAATATTTTTGTCGTATATCTTATTTATGCTAAGAAACTATATACAGATAACACATCGATAATGTATGATTTCAGTTTAGAAATTATGTGTATTGTATTGAAATAATAAATGTTATTTAATGTTAAAAGAATTTCTTAGTTTAAATTGGAATTATATAGTGCCTTTAAAATTAAATCAAGTATAACATCACAACAAAATTGTCAAAGAATAATATCTTTATTCAGACACAAAGTGCATGATTCTAAGATGTATAATCAAAATTTATAATGACGTAATAACTGCTTATTGACAAAGAAAAGAAATTGAGAAGGCATTTCTGAAAGATAACAATTTTTCAGATTGGTGAAGAAGAGAGAAAAGAGCAGAGAGTTGTTTGGGATGGACACACAGCTTCCATGGAAAAAGTAACACAGAAGGCTAGAGAAAACATCTCTATTGAGGAGCAGATTGCTACAATACATAAAACTAAAGGATTAGTGTAAGTTAATTGTAGATTCAGGTGTAGGAGCAATATAGCTCTACATACTAAGGTAAAATGTTTGCTAGAGAGAACATCTCTATTGAGGAGCAGATTGCTACAATACATAAAACTAAAGGATTAGTGTAAGTTAACTGTAGATTCAGGTGTAGGAGCAATATAGCTCTACATACTAAGGTAAAATGTTTGCTAGAGAGAACATCTCTATTGAGGAGCAGATAGCTACAATACATAAAACTAAAGGCCTGTTGTTAGTATACCTCATGTGACAGGGATAGATAAACCATATCTATTGAGGAGCAGATTGCTACAATACATTAAACTAAAGGCCAGTTGTTAGTATACCTCAAGTGACAGGGATGTATAAACTAAGAATTATTTGATACATTGATACATTCAAGATAATTAGTTGAGTTGAAATATGAATAACTACCGTTCCTACTCGCTTATTAGTCGGAAAATTGGGAGTAAAATTCATAATCCAGAGAGGGGGACCGACTAATAGACGAGATCTAGCGACCAGAGGAAAAATCCAAGCTTGAGAAAAGTGGTCAGGAGTGAATTTCCTGGTCAAAACTACGTTTTTGATTGCCAAACCTACATAAATCAATAAATAAAAAGTTTTTGTTGAAAATAAATGACTACAATACTGTCTTTGTGTTTTATTTGTTCCTTGGTAAACATTTTCTGCAAATTCGTGTTGAAATTCTACTGTTTCCGGTTTGTGTATTGATTTTCATGGTCACATGGTTTTCCTATAAACCCAAAAGAAGAGCCAAGAACCAAAAAAGAGAAAAGGAGATAACAATGTACCAAATATGTGAAAGGATGTTTTCAGCGGAGTTATTGTGTCATTATTGTGATATCATGATATCAATTCAATGCTTATAAATCATATAATAATCAAAAAATAATTTTAAGATTCATTCCCAAAATCAAAATATTATTCATTAAAGTGTCTCAGGTAAACAAAAATTACAAAATTGATTGACAAGCCAATATAATCCATTGATAACCCCAATTAAGAGACAAAGAGTTGTATTTACTAAAGGTGTGAAAACTATCAGTGATAGGTAAACAGATGACACTAATGAGTTGGAGTTAGTTATTTTAATATATTGATTAGCTTCACTTAATTTTTTTAATCCTTTAATCATCACAATATAATAAGAATTATGAAGTGTACATGCTCATTTAACACCAAGTTATGTATGCTGTGAAAAATATTTTCATCAAGTGTTGATTGACTTTAAATTTTTCAGGTTCATATTGGTTTATATTCGCTTTTCTCAAACAATAGGTTATTAGTCATACCCTACAAAATCATTGATGCATTATGTAAACAACACATGGCTAATCTAACATTTGAACAGTGAACAAAACAAGAGAAATGAATACATCTTTATTATTAACAGCAATATAAATTATCATGATGAGCATCAACTAAATTCAAACCAAACAAACATTAATGCAGAAATGAATATTATTCCTGGATTTGCATTGGTTTTACCGGCGTTCAGTTACTGTCAGCTGAAAAAAAAATGCCCAAATTTTGTCCGACTTATACGAGGGTCAAGACTAAATCCTTCTAGAATTTGGAGCTGAAAAGGGTCCCCGACTTATAGTAGGATCGACTATTAGGCGAGTATCTACGGTAATTATTGCAAATAAAAATGTAATTGATACATATGATACTCTACCACACGGGCTGTACATATGATACTCTACCACATGGGCTGTACATATGATACTCTACCACATGTGCTGTACATATGATACTCTACCACATGGGCTGTACACATGATACTCTACCACATGTGCTGTACATATGATTCTCTACCACATGGGCTGTACATATGATACTCTACAAAATGGGCTGTACATATGATACTCTACCACATGTGCTGTACATATGATTCTCTACCACATGGGCTGTACAACCTCAGTTGATATATGTATAAAGGATTGACGAACGACCGTGTGCTTTATGTCTACCTTAAAATATTTGCTGCATATTCAGGAGAGGGCAAGTTCAACCATAAATCAATAAAGTAGGCTCTGTAAAGTTGATCAACTAAGACATGCATGATGAAAAATTCTGACTGCCCCTGAAAAGATGGTATACAGTTAAGGGTACAAAATTTTGTCTTTGAATAGGTCATCATGGGGTCTAATATGAATTTATTATTAATACACAGTTATTTAATATTTACTGTTAGATTAAAGTTTTCACGTATCATTCTTGTATTACATTAATTTACAAGAAAAACATTGATAATCCAACTTTGACATTTTAAATCAATAAAATCTTTAAACTGTTGACTTAACTGTACTAAATAATGTTTGATTTTAAACAATCTTTGGAATAATATCTATGAAAGTTCAGAAAAGGCTGAAAATTTGTTGAAACAAATGTAAAGACAAAATCTGAAACCTTTGTAATCATTTTTTTATTGACATATTGATCAATATTATATTTCAGAGCTGATGAAGAAAAAGAGAAGATTGGTCCAACTGTCCCTAAAGTCCAGCCTCCACCTCCTCCTCCTCCATCTAAACCAGCTCCACCTCCTCAACCACCAACAAACATACATAAAAGTATGGCACAACCACCACTACCAAGACTACCAATGTCAACACCACCAATGCCACTCATGAATCAGCCACAGAGACTAATGATGATATCTACACCTAGGCCACCAATGAATGTTATTGGTTAGTATAGATCAAAGTGATATGTTTGTAATCAGACGATTTCCATGGTCAAGCAACCAGTTAATACTATTGGTAAGTACAGATCAAAGTGATATGTTTGTACTCAGACGATTTCCATGATCAAGCAACCAATGAATGTTGTTGGTAAGGACAGATCAAAGTGATATGTTTGTAATCAGACGATTTCCATGATCAAGCAACCAATGAATGTTGTTGGTAAGTACAGATCAAAGTGATATATTTGTACTCAGACGATTTCCATGTTCAAGCCACCAGTTAATATCATTGGTAAGTACTGAAGCTAATAATTGAGTTTAATAATTTCAGTATTAAGAACTTGCTTCTGTAAATATGGTATTATATATATATGAAACTGGTTAACAAAGCTGTGTTTATGATATTGAGTTCAAGGTTTTTTCTCAACTGAATTTTTATTGGGATTTCTTTTTAAGGAATGCAGCCTCAGCAAATGATGCCTCAGCCTATGATGGCAAGACCACCACGTCCAGGCTTTGCACCAACCCTGTTGGCTCATCCCCCTGGACCTCCTAAACCACCATCAATGGATGAACCTCCAGCAAAGAAGGCCAAGACAGAAGAACAGTTGATTCCAGAGGATGTATTCTTGTCCAGAAACAAAGTATATATGTTTTCTGCAATTATCACCACATTTGCTTATATGATTTTTATGAATAATACACAGTCTTGAATATATTAAAAAATCAACTTATTTTTTCATTATTTTTGGGGTGTAATTTTTTCTAAAAATGTTATCTACTTTGATGTTAAGAATATGGATATATAATATTACATACAATATTTGATGTTGTTGTGTTGAAATATGTATCAGCCTCATTTGTTTTAAACAACAAAATTACAGCCAAATTATTGCTTGCTTGCATCCATCAATTCTGTTATTACACAAAGTTTTTGTTTTTTTAATTTCTTTGGAGGATTAAGTTAAACATCTATCTTCTGTAAATCTGTTGCCAAGGTTTATCTATCTTCTGTCAATGGATAGCCAAGGTTTTTCTGTCGTCTCTGAATTTGTTGCCAAAGGGTTTTTCTATCATCTGTCAATGGATAGCCAAGGTTTATCTGTCTTTGGTGAATTTGTTGCTTAGATTAAATCTAGCCTCTATGAGTTTATTACTAAGGTTAAATCTATTTTCTCTAAATTTATTGCTAAGGTTAAATCTATTTTCTTGGAATTTATTGTTTTAGGTTAAATCTATTTTCTATGAAATTATAGCTTAGGATTTATCTATTTTCTGTGAATTTATTGCATAGGATAAAACTATTTTTTTGTGAATTTATTGCTTAGGTTAAATCTGTTATCTGTGAATTTGTTGCTATGTTTACCATGTCTTCTATGAATTTATTGCTAACTTGTAATCTATGTTCAGGGGCCTGTTACCTTTAAAGTCATGGTACCAAAGGCTGATGACAAACCAGAATGGAAACTCAATGGACAGATGTTGACCTATACATTACCACTTTCTGACTCTGTAAGTATTACATAGATTACTACAATGGACAGATGTTGACCTACACATTACCACTTTCTGACTCTGTAAGTATTACATAGATTACTACAATGGACAGATGTTGACCTATACATTACCACTTTCTGACTCTGTAAGTATTACATAGATTACTACAATGGACAGACGTTGACCTATACATTGCCACTTTCTGACTCTGTAAGTCTTACATAGATTACTACAATGGACAGATGTTGACCTATACATTACCACTTTCTGACTCTGTAAGTATTACATAGATTACTACAATGGACAGATGTTGACCTATACATTACCACTTTCTGACTGTAAGTATTACATAGATTACTACAATGGACAGATGTTGACCTATACATTACCACTTTCTGACTCTGTAAGTATTACATAGATTACTACAATGGACAGATGTTGACCTATACATTGCCACTTTCTGACCCTGTAAGTATTACATAGATTACTACAATGGACAGATGTTGACCTATACATTTCCACTTTCTGACCCTGTAAGTATTACATAGATTACTACAATGGACAGATGTTGACCTATACATTGCCACTTTCTGACTCTGTAAGTATTACATAGATTACTACAATGGACAGATGTTGACCTATACATTGCCACTTTCTGACCCTGTAAGTATTACATAGATTACTACAATGGACAGATGTTGACCTATACATTGCCACTTTCTGACCCTGTAAGTATTACATAGATTACTACAATGGACAGATGTTGACCTATACATTACCACTTTCTGACCCTGTAAGTATTACATAGATTACTACAATGGACAGATGTTGACCTATACATTGCCACTTTCTGACTCTCTAAGTATTACATTGATTACTACAATGGACAGATGTTGACCTATACATTGCCACTTTCTGACCCTGTAAGTATTACATAGATTACTACAATGGACAGATGTTGACCTATACATTGCCACTTTCTGACTCTGTAAGTATTACATAGATTACTACAATGGACAGTTGTTGACCTATACATTGCCACTTTCTGACCCTGTAAGTATTACATAGATTACTACAATGGACAGATGTTGACCTATACATTGCCACTTTCTGACTCTGTAAGTATTACATAGATTACTACAATAGACAGATGTTGACCTATACATCACCACTTTCTGACCCTGTAAGTATTACATAGATTACTACAATGGACAGATGTTGACCTATACATTGCCACTTTCTGACTCTGTAAGTATTACATAGATTACTACAATGGACAGATGTTGACCTATACATTACCACTTTCTGACTCTGTAAGAATTACATAGATCACTACAATGGACAGATGTTGACCTATACATTACCACTTTCTGACTCTGTGTGTATTACATAGATTACTACAATGGACAGATGTTGACCTATACATTACCACTTTCTGACCCTGTAAGTATTACATAGATTACAACATTCTACATACTGCTTAAGATATATCAGTTTAATGTTTTTTACAAAAATTTACCAATTCAAAACCATTTGCTGTCTAACTGCCTCTTGATCATATCACTAGGTTACAGGAAGTAAAAGCCTTGAAATGCTCAACATTCCTCTAAAATTGTGTAATGAGCGATATGTATGTGTGTACCTTCCTTCCCATGTCTGTGTATCATGTGCTCAGATGCGTAGTTTGCGGGTGTAATCCATACAAACATTTACACAGTTGTGTGTCTGTAAACCATAAACAAAACTACAAAGTTTGTAGTTAAAAAAGCCTTTTAGGAAAGTAAATTTATTTTGCCTAGTTTGACATAAACATTGCAATATTTTTATAGAAATAATAAGAAAGAACTGTTAAAAGGGATATATATTTGAAATGTCTATCAAAAGATTTATTTAGTTGGTGAATTCAATTATCTGCAGCAATTTTTAAAAGTTATTCTAATTTGTGATTTCAATGCTCACTTGTTATGGAAAAGACAGAAAATGGAGTATCAATTTATAACACACAATTAATACATGCTCATGAAAAAGAGAAAAAAAGCAAATGAAGACTACTATTATTTTTTTATACGACCGCAAAAAAGATTTGGGGTTGTATATTGCTATCACATTGTCATCTTTTGGTTTCCAGACAATGACTTTAGTTTAAGTGTATGGATCTCTATGAAACTTAAGCAAAAGGTTCAATACCACAAAAGGAAGGTTGGGATTGTTTTTGGGGGTGATGGTCCCAACTGTTTAGTAATTAGGAGCCAAAAAGGGGCCCAAAACAAGCATTTTTCTAGTTTCAGGACAATAACTTGTGTATAAGTATTTTGATTGCTCTGAAATTGTACCACAAGGTTCAATATCACAAGTAGAAGGTTGGGATTCATTTTGGGGATAATTGCCCAAACCGTTCAGGAATAAGGGGCCAAAAAGGGTCTAAAACAAGCATTTTTCTAGTTTTCAGACAATAACTTGGTGTTTAAGTGTATTGATGTCTCTTAATTTGTACCACATTTTACAAAAAGAAAATTTCTTCAAATATTATTTTTTTTGGAAAAGGGGGGGGGTAAAAAAAATATTTTTTTGGGGGGGGCAATTTTTTTTCTCACTAGAATTAAGAAATTAAAAAGCAAGAAATCTTCAATTGAATATAAATTCAAATCATATAACCAATTTCAAGTTCTTTGACTACATTTATTCTGTGTCAGAAACCTATAATGTGTCAAATATTTAATTACAATCCAAATTCAGACCTGACCTGTATCAAGCTTGAATATTGTGTCCATTTTTGCCCCAACTGTTCAGGGTTGGACCTCTGCGGTCGTATCCAGCTGCGCTCGGCGAAGCAGTTTATTTCATATCTGTTGACCCTCATAAAATATTAATAGATTATAATGAAAGCCCACAATAAACATGTTGTATATATTTCAGATTGCTGTTATGAAAGCCCACAATAAACATGTTGTATATATTTCAGATTGCTGTTATGAAAGCTAAGTTAAATGAAAGTCTGGGACTACCTGCTGGTAAACAAAAGTTGCAGTATGATGTAAGTAATCTGAAAGTGGAGGATAACATCATGTATATTTTGAAATATGTATTGTAATTTTTGTCTGTTACTTATTTTACCTGGAGAACATAAGATAACTAAATATAAAATGACAGCCATATTTTACTGGTAGAAAGCTGGTAATTTAGTAGTAATGTAGATTCCAACGAAAAGAGGATGGACTATTTAATACCAAAAAAGGTTTTAAGGGGTGCTTTGGTCATAGAATGTTTTTTTATAGAACTCATTTTATGTAGTTTCCGTTCAATGTACCAATGTTGCACAGCCAACAAAAAAGTTTAGATAAGCTTTCTTATAATTATACATATTTATTTATTCCTACCAAATATTTAAGTTGTTATTTGGTTGTGCCCAGAACCTTTCTAATCCAAAGTATACTCACTGGTTGATAGAAAACTGAAAATTCATGAAATTTTACAAAATATATAAAGTTTGTCCTGGTTTGTTGCCAGGGGAACTTGTCAGATGTTAAATATGTTTTCCTTTTCTGAACATGTTTGAAGCTAGTCATGCAAGAGCAAATTTAAGATCATGATAATTCACATGATAAACTAGTAAGTTCCATCACATTACTTTTGATGGCCTTCTAATGAAAGGTTATACCCACTTGTGTAATATTTACACCTTCAATTTATTGACTTTTCAGGGTATCTTCATGAAGGATTCTAACTCCTTAGCTTACTACAACATTAATAAGGGAGCTGTAATTAGCTTACAATTAAAGGAGAGAGGAGGGAGGAAGAAGTAAAGGGAGATAATTACAACAACATTTACAAAGGGAGATAGCTGGAACATTGACAGAGGGAGACAACTACAACATTGACAAGGGGAGACTATTGTTAGAGTTCTTTATTTGTTATGGTGTATATAATGTATTGAAGTCTTATAAATATTGTGAAAGGGGCTCCAAAGACAATTGTAATGTGGTAAATAATTTTAAAGTTGATTGTATGACTCTGTTTATAATGAACCACTTTTTTCATTCATTCTCATCAAACTAATGTGCAAGTGATTTTGATTTTGCTTTAATGTTTAAATTTTTCTTGTAATGATAAGAAAAGTAAAACTATATGTTTAAAGAGAGGAATGCCAATTCATTTATAGATTTTGCCGAAGTTTTTCAATTTTCCTTTTTGCATCTATTGTTTGTTTGTACTTGGGTTTCACTGAGGCATATTTGGGGTTTCAAAGAATGTTTGGTACAGAACCTTATTGGAAAATAACAATTTATTTATATTTTCATTCAGTAATGCTCATTACATTCTGATATATTATATGGTATGATTCCCAAAAAGTTTTAAATGATGTATATCCCAAATTTTGATTATTAAATTTTGAAAATTGCAAGTTATTTTACTAATGTAGAAACTTGGTAAGCTGATAATGTTGATAACAAGTTAATTACATATTAATAAAAAAAATGTTTTATTTGAAAAGATTTTTGTGCTGAGAAAGTTTGTGACAATTTTTTATGCCATAGTAGAATATGTTATTTGTATAAGACAATATAAAAAAATGAAAACATAAATTACATAGCCAGATAATATCATTGATTGCATGTAGTCTGGGTTCTCAGTAATGTATACAGGACAAACTCCTTATTTAGAAAAAGATTTATCGTTTGTTGTAATTATTTTCAAAAGAGAAATTATTGACAACATTTACATTTGATTTAACCGTTTTGATTTCATTCTTAAAGAATGCTGTTGCTTTAAAAGAATTAAAAGAATAGGAAAACCTTCATCATATGGTGACTTCTTGATGTCTATTTTTATGGAACTTTTTGTTTAGTTTGCCATCTCATTGTCATTTAGATACATTATTCATATAAACATGCACCTTGGTAGCAACATGGTGCAAGGCAAGTACTCAAAAGTTCTTCTTTAGAATGTCTTTAAACTACAAAGAATATAGTATGTGTATGATCTGCCAGTATAATAGAAGGAGGTTTATGTTTTCTAGTCTGTGACTGTTCATTCATTCGTCTGTCGCATATTAGGTTAAAGTATTGGTAACTATGAAGTTGTTCTATTATTTTCTTGAATTTTAGTACTTTTGTTTATAATGATGTTATTTTTTTTAGATATTTGCCAAATTTCGGTTTTGACCCATATCATGTGCCTCACTAATCAGGTTGAAGTTTGGTTTTGAGATAAGAAAATAATATGGAGATATTGTATGATTGTCAATTAGACATCTATCCATCAGAGACCAAAGTACAAGGATATAAACAACTATTGTTCATTGTATGACCTTCAGCAATGAGCAAAACCCATACTGTGTAGCTTACCATGAAGGTTGTGTCACATCAACTTGAAACATTAGAACACATGTTCATTACAATGCAAACTTTAAAAAAAATATGCCAGATAAGGATTTTGAGCTAGATTTTGTGGTTCACTGAACATGGTATGTGATAACAAGTGGGGCATTTCTTGGGGTTTTTTATGCCTCCGCCGTAGGGGAGGGGGAATTAAGTTTTACCCTTGTCCGTCTGTACTTCTGTCTGTTTGTCCGTACATCTGTACATCCCAAAATTGGTTTCCGTTCTCTAACTTTAGTTTGCCTCAACCAAGAATTGAATTTTGGTGGCATCACTTTTAGGGTTCTAGAGTAATGCCCCTTTACAAATGGAAAAAAATTGCTGAATTTTTCGTTTCTGTTCTCTTACTTTAGTTTGCCTCTACCAAATGTTATGAAACTTATGCACAATGCTTATTACCACAAAACACAGATCAAGTTTGAATTCTGGTGGCGTCACTTATACCGTTCTAGAGTTATGCCTATTTACAAATGAAAATTGCTGAATTTTTCGTTTCCGTTCTCTTACTTTAGTTTGCCTCAACCAAATATTATGAATCTTATACACAATGCTTTTTACGGTACCACAAAACATAGATCAAGTTTGAATTTTGGTGGCGTCACTTTTACCGATCTAGAGTTATGCCCCTTTACAAATGGAAAAATTGCTGAATTTTTTGTTTCCGTTCTCTTACTTTAGTTGGGGCCTCGGTGGTCGAGTGGTCTAAGTAGTTACTACTGTAATCACTAGACAGTCAACACTGAGGTTGTGAGCTCGAACCCCGCTGGTGAGGGTGCACTCGACTCCAATCTAAATTGACTAGGATTGTCAGTTTTCCTATCGAAGGTCGGTGGTTTTCTCCGGCTTCCTCCACCAATAAAAACTGGCCGCCACGAAATAGCCCAAAAGCGGTGCTTAAAAGTGGCGTTAAAACACCAAAAGATCAAAATCAATCAAAATCTTACTTTAGTTTGCCTCAACCAAATGTTATGAAACTTATACACAATGCTTATTACCACAAAACACAGATCAAGTTTGAATTTTGGTGGAGTCACTTTTACTGTTCTAGAGTTATGCCCCTTTACAAATGGAAAAATTGCTGATTTTTTTGTGTCCGTTCTCTGACTTAAGTTTGTCTCAACCAAATGTTATGTAACTCATACACAATGCTTATTACCACAAAACTCAAATCAAGTACAAATTTGGGTAGCGTCACTTTTACAGTTCTTGAGTTATGTCCCTTTATAATGTTATATGGAAGCAGGGGCATCATCTGTGTCCCATGGACACATTCCCCATTGATTTTTTTATACGCCCGTTTACGGGACGTATTATGGTATATCGTTGACCGTCCGTCCGTCCGTCGTCAACATGTCGGACATTAACTCAAAAACGCTTTTACCAATATGCATGAAACTTTGGTGAATTGTTTATATCTATTGACGTAAGCTCCCTTTTGTTTTTTATAAATTTCGATTTACCATTTCCGAAGTTTGGAGTTTTATTCATTAAAAAAGGGGGGATTTTCCAGTTTTCGGACAATAACTCAAAAACAATTTCACCAATTTGCAAGAAACTTTGGTGAATTGTTTAATGCTATCGACATGAGCTCCCTTTTGATTTTTATAAATTTTAGACTATACGTTTCTGATTTATGGGGTTTTATTCGTTACAAAAAGGGGGATATTCCTGTTTTCCGACAATAACTCAAAAATGCTTTCAGCATATTTTATGAAACTTTGGTAAATTGTTTATATCTATTGTTGTAAGCTCCCTTTTGATTTTTATAAATTTTAGATTTTATTTTTCCGAGTTACAAGATTTTATTCATAAAAAAAGGGGTGTTTTTCAAGTTATTGGACAATATCCTTAAAGTGCTTAGAGCAGTTTTCATTAAACTTTGATGACTGATTTATATCTATTAAGATAACCTCCCTATAGTTTTTTTTATAAATTTCTAATATAACATTGAGAAGTTATTGAACTTTATTTGTTTATATTCTGACAACAGATTTACTAGTATTGCGCAACAGCACAGTGTATTGCACAACAGAAAGAAATCTTTAATTGAATATAAATTCAATTCATATAACCAATTTCAAGTTCTTTGACTACATTTATTCAGAAACCTATAATATGTCAAATATTTAATTACAATCCAAATTCAGACCAGTATCAAGCTTGAATATTGTGTCCTTTTTTGCCCCAACTGTTCAGGGTTGGACCTCTGCGGGCGTATCCAGCTGCACTCAGCGAAGCAGTTTATTTATTAAAGGCAGTGCTTTAATGCCTTTCTAGTTGCCGGGTTAATCCTTCCTTCCGCGATATCCAACTTATCTACGTGGGGGGTCATTATACTCCAAGTAGATCCGGAAATGTTGAATTCTCTCCTCTTCTTATTGCGATATAAAATGTTTTTTGTTTCATTTCATTTACATTGGGAAATAGAGAAACGATCATTGTGTTTTGTTAGTTTTAAAAACTTTTGATATATTAGTATTTTGCATTATAAGCAGTCAACCGATTGACAAACTAGAATTATTTGAATTCCGTGTGGAAAGAGGTCGGGTTAATTTCGAGTGTTATCTGCAATCTAGATGTTTATAAATCATTTCAGTCGTTGATATAATAATTAAAGGTCGACTGAACATGAATTATATTATACAATTTAAAGCGCATTTCTGTTTAAGCACGTGAACCCGTCTAACGTTATTTTCGCAGTTACATAAAGTAGCAAATTATCGTTCCTGAATAGGTGGCGCCGTGGTAGCGGATCCTGTTCCTCTTCTTCCGGTTTCTGCACTGTGCAACTATTTCAGTTATATTTTTAAGCAGTTAAGCTGCTTTATGCGAGCACCCTAGATTTGTGTTCTACCCAATAAATGCTGAAATATGTGCCATTGTTATTATCTGGCTGGCTATTATGTTATTTATAACTAATTGAACACTTTTTTCATACTTTTAATTCTGGAATACAAAAAATATGACCAGAAAAACCTTAAATGATCGTCGAACCACCCAAAAGTTTAGAAGTTGCACATAGGAAGTAGTGCTCAATAGAAATCCTTATGTAGTTTATTATCCCCTGTGCTTTTGGCCAAGATGTCAAAGAACAATTGCATGAATTATTTCATCGCCGAAAATCTCTAATTACAAGTCGTTTACAGTTGCCAAATGGCACAAAGCGCAGGAATATTGTATAACGGCTGTGACTAATATGACACGGAGTTGAAGTCTCAGTTGGCGGTAATTTTAACTTCGTCGACAAAACGTAAATCAAGGACGTTTTAAATTTGGTGATTTCTGATAATAATCATTTTGTTCAACCGCTAGCTTTATACCGAAAATCGCCAACATGTTATGTGTAAATCCGAGTAAATCGTATCTGACTGACAAAAACAACATTGAAAAACAATGGATGCCATAAACCGGAAATGAAGACAATTATAATACCGGATCTAATTCCGGGGGCGGATTAGGGTAATTCCGGGTTTGCCGATCAAATACAATAAAAATATAATAATTCCAGGCATGAGACAAAATACATCTATCATGATGAAATATAAACTCTAGAATTGAAAACCAAAGATATATTGAAAAGAAAGAAAAAGCAGGAAATATTTTATACAGAAACTCAAATTTTCATGTCAAAAACCAATAAAATGTGACAGTATTTTCCTTATCATTAATAAATATTGATATTACATGTAGATGTTTTTATTGTTTAAACATATTACTTCAATTCCATGAGGTAATTTCTTCTCAATTTTGAAGGGCCTATAAAAATCTGGAAGTTTCTTACTTTATTTTTACAGAGGAACTAGCTAATATAATATATAGTGCAACTAGATATGATACACTTAAACAGTTTTGAATTTGAACTGTTTAATATAATGGTATAATTAGTAATAAATAATCAATTGTTGAGACAACACACCCACCCACAGTGATACCCTCAGCCTCCCTCAGCCTTCCTAATACAAAAAAAAAAGATTATTTGAATTCATAAATTAATATACAAGACAATTACATTTATTATTAAACATGTTAAACGACAGTGAGTGACACTGACAATGAAACAAGTTAACTTAACACCAAAAGCACATTAAAGTATCTTACTGAGTTATGAACTATTTCAAGTAAAAGCAGGACCTGGAATTTAGGTTGTGGACCTTTCAGTTTGGAGTGTCAAAGGTCCTGGACTGTCCAGTACCAAATGTTAATTTTAACCCCTGCATTCACAGTAAAGCGATTTTGACGTGTATTGCAATTCCAAGTAGAATTCACTTTTGGACATTAAACGTTTCGAATGCGTATTAAACTAATTCAAATCAGTTAATAATGTGAATCGAATTCGAATTATGTGTGAACACAGTATTGATATATATAAGAAATGAAGAATATTAAAAAAAGATGGACAAAATATTTGTATTAAATTTGTTGCAATTTTTGTCTTGCCTTGACAGAGTCAAAAAGTGAGACATATATATATATATATAGGCATGCTGTTTTGGCGGAATCAACAATGTATTAGTTTGTGATTTTGTGATAAGGTCTGGTTTCTGGTAGGTCAATGACATTTTGTAAGTAGTTGTGTTAGCATAGGCACATCTCATTACCATAGAGAATATTTGGCCCCACCCCCTTAGTCATGGTCTATTGACTTTGAAACTTTGCATAGTTTACATGTATATGTTTGTGATTAGGTCAGTTTAGGGGGAACCACTAGTGGTAGGTCAATGATATTTGGTGTGCAGTTGTATAAACTTTTTCATTTTAATTTTCATTGAGATCATTTGGCCCGCCCCCTCAATCATGCTCTTTTTACTTGGAAACTTATGTTACTTTGAAATTTCATTTATTAGTTTTCGATTAGGTTAGTATTAGGGAAACCAATAGTGGTAGGTCAATGATAATTGGCATGTAGGTGTAGAAGCATTAGTACGTCTCATTTCCATAGTCGATATTTGGTCCTCACCCCTCAGTCATATGCATGATCTATTGACTTTGAAACTTTTACTTAGTTTACATGAATGAGTTTGTGATTATTATGATTATGTCAGTTTAAAATTACCAGTAATCTTAAGTCAAAGCTATTTGGTATGCGAACGTATTGGTATTCAAAAGTTTCATTTCCATGGATATTATATAACCCCACCCCCTCATTATGGTTCATTGACTTAGAAATTGAATTTGTGTTAAGGTTTTTTTAAAGGGAACGACTTATGAAAAGTCAATGGTATTTGGTTTGCAGTTGAACAAGCATTGGCACCTTTCATTTCCATAGAGATTGTTTAGCCTTGTACCTTCAGTCATGGTTCATTGACTTTGAATATCACTTACATGTTAAAGTATTACTATTTTAAGTGTAACATTTGCATTATCAAAATAACAAATAGGCAAAACATTACGTTGTGTTAATAGCTTATTATAGATTAGACATGTAGAGGGTCTACAAAAATCTCTTGATATTTTACATGAATATTGTTCATCATGGAAACTACAAGTTAATACTGATAAATCAAAAATTATGATATTTAATTCTAATGGCAAGACATTGTTAAACCATTTTACCTATGATAATGCATATCTTGAAACGGTTACAAATTATTGTTACTTGGGTATTGTTTTAAAGTATAATGGCAATTTTTGCCTTGCTGTGAATACTCTATTGGAAAAAGCCAGGAAGGCATACTATAAGATAAAGAAAACTATAGGTCTCAACAACCCATGTAGACTTCTTGAAAAATTGTTTGATTGTTTAGTTACTCCCATTCTTACATATTGTAGTGAAATTTGGGGGGTGGATTCACATTTTAAAGACTCTGATCCCTTTGAAAAACTTCATGTTAAATTTATCAAAGATATATTAGGGGTTCACTGTAAGGCATCTAATGATGGATGTCGAGCCGAACTTAATAGAATTCCCTTGAAAAATAAAATATTATATTCAATATTCAACTACCTGAACCATATAGTTTCTTCGGAAAATTCTTTGGCATATGATATATTCACTAAATCTGTAGATTCAAACCCTTGGGTCATAAAGGTCAAGAGTCTTTTGAATGGACTTGGAATGTCTTATATCATCAATAACTTTAATTATGTTAAAGGTAATTTAAATTCTATTAAACAAAGAATTAATGACCAATGTTTGCAAGTTCAAAATGCAAATATATTTGAATCAAAAAAGTTAGACTTTTTCAAGAGTGTCTACATAATGGGCAGAAGACCACCCTATGTTGATATATTGAAAAACAGAAGTGACAGAGCTGCAATATGTAAGATCCGTATAAGCGCTCATATACTGATGATTGAAAGAGGGAGACATCTAAATATTCCCAGAAATGAAAGATACTGCTCTGTATGTAATTCTGGTCAAATTGAAAATGAAAAACATTTTCTTTTACATTGTGAAAAATACTCAACTAAAAGGGCCATATTTTACCAAAAAGTTTCAAATATAATCGTTGATCCTACAAAATTTCAAAAAAATTAAAATAATGTAATCTTTTTATTAAATAATAATTCATACACAATCCTAAAATTGACTTCCTCTTTCATTTCAGACAGTCTGAATCTGCATAAAGCAGAACAAACTCTATAAAATTGTCAATATGTCTAATTCATAATTATTGTTTATAATATTACATATTAATATTATAGTCATTATTTGCAATACTTATTATGTATGATCAACTATGTAATTAATATACCATGAGCCTTAACCATTTATTTTTGATGAGTTTGTGCTAATAAAATATTTGTATTTTTTTTTGTAATTATTATAAAAATAAGGAGATGTGGTATGATTGCCAATGAGACAACTATCCACCAAAATTCAAATGAAGTGGATGTAAGCAATTACAGGCAACCGTACAGCCTTCAAAAATATATGTTGCATCATTGCTAGGCCATTATAACAACATCAACATTTCTTGTAATACTAGTATACAAGAAAATTACACCATTTCAGATAGTTTCAGGTATGATTTGATAATTGTGTATAGTGGCACCAGCTGATCCAACTAAAAGCGCTAATATGGCATATTCAAACTCTAGTACATAGTGGAATTAAACCATACACCACTGTTGGACACCATAATTGAAATTATTATTCTGAAAAGAATATTCCTCCATGCAGCCTGCAACAATTAGCAAAACCTATACTGCATAGTAAGATATAAACGACCACGAAATGACAAATGTAAAACAATAAAACTAAAGCAGCCTGATTTATGTACAAAACAATTATGAAAAATAAATATGATATACAGCAACAATCAACAATCACCAAATTATTGGGTCCTCACTATGGACAGGTACATACAGAATGTGGCGGGTTAAACATGTTAGCTGGCACAAAACTCTCCCCTAACATGGGACAGTGTATGTGCATAATCTCAGACATTAAATCTTTAAAAAATAAATTGGAAATAACTTTTGAAAGTGGTAGGATTGGATAGCAGAAACATTACGGTACAAACATTATTTGATACTTGAGAAATAGCTGAGATATATAGATTCTACCACTGCATCGAGTGTGATACGATATTTATCCACTCGAGACAGTTAAATTTTCAAATTTAACTGTCGAGAGTGGATAAATATCGTATTACACGAGATTTGGTGGTGGAATCTGTTTCTCTAATGATTTTCAAACAATATGCAGGCAAACTTATTCCGTCTTTTCGAATGATCTGTAAAAAGATGTGTTCTTTCTATGTGACGTCATCAGGCATGGTCGCCTTTTTTTATGCCGTCACAATAGGAAATTCAGAGAAAAGCAAGTAAATTCGACGTCATAATCGGATTTTAACCAATGAAGAACTGAGATCAAACGAACCACACGCTGATTAAATTTTTTGTATACAATGGGTGCAGAAAGGGATAAATTGACGAAGAATTAGAGAAAAATATTTTCATCCATTCTTCCGCTATATTCATCTTAACTTCTGCCAAGTTTACCTTTGATTTTTTTAATTAACTGCCTATAGCGCCTTTGGTGCTTTGATTAATTAACGATGCCAAGTAATTGTTGTTGTGTACCTGGATGTCATTTAAGAGGAGGACATGCATTTCCAAATGACTTAAAAAGAAGGAAAAGTTGGATCAACGCCATGGCCCATACGCAGATTGGACGAGAACACGATGATATCGTGGAGTCCATCTCAATCAGCTGTTGTTTGCAAGGCACGTTTTACTGAAAAAGACTACGTGCAGGAAACTATTCATGGTAAAACTCTATTTTCTTTGTGAAATATATAGTTATATATGTAATCTCCATGCGAATAAACCAAAGTCTGTTTACAACCGCAATTATCGTTTTAGAATAAAAGGGGGTGGGTAATTCAAGACGTCATCATTTTTTGGATTACGATTCAATGTGATCTGTTTGAGATTTTTTGGTGATTGCTACAATTATAATGATTTCTTACCAGAGGTATATCATACTGAGAATTATTTTAGCAGTAATTATGCTAATGTAGTAATGACAGGAATGCATAAGCTATGCCTCATAGACTTTCTTGAAAAATATCAATGACAATGTTGACAGGAACAAAACAATGACATGCTCTCATCTATATGATAGTTATTTAGGTACAAACAATGTACGTTTGTTGCATAAGTCTCTCATTGTTTGTCCTTTGGATTTACATAACATACATTGAATCAGGCAAACATAGTTTTATCCAGATTGTAATGAATAAATCTAGTTAATATTTCGCCAGGCAGTACAAAGTATACATTGCTAATGGAAGTTCATTTAATTATAAAAAATCTAATGTTTTATAACCTTTTTCAGGGCGCAAACCCACCATACAGAGACTTAAGTCTACTGCAATTCCCAGCCTATTTTCCTGGACCAAGCAAGAGACTGAATCGTCCGCAAAAAGAAGAATCAGGGCAGTTTCCTGTGAAAACAAAAGAACTAAACTTGATGAATATTGTAGTAGAAATCTAGAGGAAAGTTTTGATTGTAAAGTTGGTTTTCCTGAAGAAGTCATTCATACTGCAGAAAGGATTTATGACTGTCCACCACCAACTGCCGAGCTAATGTTGAGCTTCACAGATGGAATTACGCAAACACCATCAATGCCTATGTTTTCAGCAGAGAATTTTGAAATGAAGACACGTGACACAGCCATGCATTTTTATACCGGTTTAGAGTTGTATACTAAATTTTTATTTGTTTTGACCACACTTGGTCCAGCAGCACATTGTTTGAGATACATATATTTTCAAATTGATAGGGTGTCAGTTGAAAATCAGTTTTTTTATGACTTTGATGAAATTGAGGCATCATACAACCAACTTTGAACTGTCTAGATTCTAGATTGAATCTAGTGTTAAGAATATTATGTATACATGGATTATTTTTATGTCTAAACAGTGGTGTGAGGCTAACACTTGGCCATCTAGTGGTTTAGTCAGGTATTTTTCACCATCCAACTTCAAATTAAAGTTTCCTACGACTTGGATTATTATTGACAGCACAGAATATCCCGTGATAAAACCTAAAGCTCCTAGAGCTCAGGCAACCTTTTCATCAAATAAAAACAGAAACACTGAAAATTCTTGAATGTTCGACACCTGGTGGTTTAGTCAACTATGTCTCTATGTCACATAGAGCGAATTATTGGACTTGGCAAAACATACAAAATTCTAATAAATCCTATGAATGAAACTGAAACAAAACTTTCATCTGAAATAACATTTAGTTGTTGTATGTTGTGTAATTTTAGAACTTGTATTGTGCCAAAGGATGCATAAATAAAAATGACGCAATGAATTTTGTTCTGATATATATATATTTACAATTACATGCACATGTAAATTGTAATGCATATAAAAATAAGGAGATGTGGTATGATATTCAGTGAGTTTATCAAACTAAAGTGCATAAGAAATGGGTTTAAGCAGTTACAGGTGTTACTGTCACCGTACAATCTCCAACAATGAGAAAAACTCGTACCCTTTAAAAAATTTCAGAGATCTTACAACTAAGTTTTGTTGTCTCACCTTGACTTTGGTGAATTTTTTATATCTGTTGATGTAAATATAAAAAAGAAGATGTGGTATGATTGCCAATGAGACAACTCTCCACACATGCACAAGAGACCAAATGACACAGAAATTAACAGCTATAGGTCACAGTACGGCCTTCAACAATGAGCAAAGCCCATACCGCACAGTCAGCTATAAAAGGCCCAGAAATGACAATGTAAAACAATTCAAACAAGAAAACTAACGGCCTATTTTATGTAAAAAAATGAACAAATATAACAAATATGCAACACATAAACAAACCACAACCACTGAATTACACTTTTATAGGCTCCTGACTTGGGACAGGCACATACATGTACATACAGAATGTGGCGGGCTTAAACATGTTAGCGGGATCCCAACCCTCCCCCTAACCTGGGACAGTGGTGTAACAGTACAATATAAGAAAGAACTATAAAAATCAGTTGAAAGAGGCTAAACTCATCAGATGGATAAATACAAATACAAGTGGACGTGGTCGGGTAGTTGTACATCCAAACAACAAAAAGACACTTAAGTACAAATCTGAGAGTACTCGCAGTTACTGACAGCTAGTTCAAAGCCACTAACAACTGATAAAAAAATCTTGCATCTAAGACTAAATTATCAATCCGTAAGCTCCCTTTAGAATTTTATAAATTTTAGATTTTACATTTCTGAGTTATGGGGTTTTATTCATTAAAAAAGGGGGGATTTTCCAGTTTTTGGACAACAACTCAAAAATGCTTTAAGCAGTTCACATGAAACTTTGGTGAATTATTTATAGCTATTGATGTAATCTCCCTATTGATTTTCATAAATTTCAAATATGACATTGAGAAGAAATTCAACTTTATTTGTTTAAAGTCTGGCAACAGATTTATTAAGTATTGCACAACAGCACAGTGTATTGCACAACAGCAAGAAATCTTTAATTGAATATAAATTCAATTCATATAACCGATTTCAAGTTCATTGACTACATTTATTCAGAAACTATAATATGTCAAATATTTAATTACAATCCAAATTCAGACCTGTATCAAGCTTGAATATTGTGTCCATTTTTGCCCCAGCTGTTCAGGGTAGTACCTCTGCGGGTGTATCCAGCTGCGCTCAGCGAATCAGTTTATTTCATAATTAAGAACTCCTTTTTATACGACCGCAAAAAAATTTTGTGGTCGTATATTGGTATGACGTTGGCGTCGTCGTCGGCGTCGTCATCCGAAGACACATTAGTTTTCACACTCTAACTTTAGTTTAAGTGAATGCATCTCAATGAAATTTTAAAATAAGGTTCAATACCACAAAAGGAAAGTGGGGATTGATTTTGGGGGTTATGGTACCAACAGTTAAGGAATTAGGGGCCAAAAATAAGCATTTTTGTAACTTCCAGACATAACTTGTGTGTAAGTGTATGGATCTCACAAGGTTCCATATCACAAAGGGAATGCTGGGATTGATTTTTGGGGGTAATTGCCTCCAAATTTTAGGAATTAGGGGCCAAAAAGGGGCAAAAAACAAGCATTTTTCTAGTTTCATGACAATAACTTGTGTGCAAGTCTATGGATCTCTCTGACATTGTATCACAAGGTTCCATATCACAAAGGGAATGCTGGGATTGAATTTGGGGGTAATTGCCTCCAAATTTTAGGAATTAGGGGCCAAAAAGGGGCAAAAAACAAGCATTTTTCTAGTTTCATGGCAATAACTTGTGTGTAAGTGTATGGATCTTTATGAAATTGTACTACAAGGTTCCATATCACAAAGGGAAAGCTGGAATAGAGTTTGGGGGTAATTGCCCAAAAAGTTAAGGAATAAGGGGCCAAAAATAAGCATTTTTCTAGTTTCCAGACAATAACTTGTGTTCAAGTGTATGGATCTCTCTGAAATTGTACTGCAAGGTACCATACCACAAAGGGAATGCTGGGATTGATTTTTGGGGGTAATTGCCTCCAAATTTTAGGAATTAGGGGCCAAAAAGGGGCAAAAAACAAGCATTTTTCTAGTTTCATGACAATAACTTGTGTGTAAGTCTATGGATCTCTCTGACATTGTATCACATGGTTCCATATCACAAAGGGAATGCTGGGATTGATTTTGGGGGTAATTGCCTCCAAATTTTAGGAATTAGGGGCCAAAAAGGGGCAAAAAACAAGCATTTTTCTAGTTTCATGGCAATAACTTGTGTGTAAGTGTATGGATCTTTATGAAATTGTACTACAAGGTTCCATATCACAAAGGGAAAGCTGGGTTTGAGTTTGGGGGTAATTGCCCTAAACGTTTAGGAATTTGGGACCAAAAAGGGGCCAAAAAACAAGCATTTTTCTAGTTTCCAGACAATAACATGTGTTCAAGTGTATGGATCTCTCTGAAATTGTACTGCAAGGTACCATACCACAAAGGGAAGGCTGGGATTGAGTTTTTGGGTGATGAATCATAAGGGGGTTCAAAAAATTTGGGGGGGGGGGATTCTTTTTCCTTTTTTTTTCTTTAAAATTTTCCATTTTAAATTGGTTATTTCTGATTTATATATAAAAGCAAATAATAATGATATGGTTTGAATAGGTAAATTAAATTTTTTTTTAGTATCTTAGACCACTTTCATTCTGTGTCAGAAACCTATGCTGTGTCAAATATTTAATTACAATCCAAATTCAGTGCTGAATCAAGCTTGAATGTTGTGTTCATACTTGCCCCAACTGTTCAGGGTTCGACCTCTGCGGTCGTATCAAGCTGCGCCCCAGCGGAGCATTTTATTTCATTCATAAATTACTTTATGCTTGGAAATATAATTTTGCTTGGAGTTGAAAGAGTTGACATGTTGCAATGTACATTTACTCTACATAGTTCTATGGTACCAAATCAAAAGTTTATATAAACAAAGAAGTCAAAGGTTTCCCATCATAGTTTAGTTACATACATTTTTTTTGTATCTGAGCTCGTTGAATATAGATCATTATATAAATAAGGAGATGTGTTATGATTGCCAATGAAAAAACTAAGGATTTTCTTATCCAAGGAATAGATTTCCTTAGCCGTATTTGGCACAACTTTTTGGAATTTTGGGTCCTCAATGCTCTTCAACTTTGTACTTGTTTGGCTTTGTTACTATTTTGATCTGAACGTCACTGATGAGTCTTATGTAGACGAAACACACGTCTGCGTATTAAATTATAATCCTGGTACCTTTGATAACTAATTTGACTATAAACATAGATAAAAAAGGTACAAACTGGACATAATGCACTAGTTCATAAACAAGTGAGAACAATCGCCTTCATATAGTGCTCAGAATATGACATTCATAAAACTTATTCAATATCATTAGAGAACTCTAAATCTTAAATACTGAAAGCCACCTCTGATAAGTACACTGTACTATGCAAGATAATGATATAACTGGACTTAAAATACACACAACCTGTAATTAACTGCCTTTACAGCGCTTTCGTGCTTTGATTTTTATTTTTCTTGTGTGTCACTTCTCATAAGCATAATAAAAAAAGATTTTTATCTGGCTGTAAGTGTCTTCATACATTCAGAGGCGGATTTAGAGGGTTTTTCAGGGGGCCCGGCCCCCCCCTTTTGTTGGAAAAATTTGGTTGATTATATAGGGAATCACTGAAGCCAGACTGGAGCGGGGTCCCCTCTTATGAAAATGTCTGGATAGTCACTGACATTTATTTGTATTAATGGAGACACAATAGTGAAGATGTGTTGTCATACATCACTCACATTAATTTGAATAATGATTTAAAGATGTCTTCAAATATCCATCTCTATTAATTGAGAAATGCTGACTCAGCTTTGTTCTCATGTGTTCAAATTTATAAATGGAGACTTAAGTTATAACATGTCTTCTTAGATCAATCTGTAAGAATGGTTTAGAAAGATCTTCATAATTTCATAAATATAAACAAAAATGTAAGTAGATACCCTAGAGACCTTCAAATCTATAAGTCAATAAAGATAAACAATGTCCGCCATGGCCTAAATGGCTCACACCGAACAGCATGCATTTTTTCTTCACAAACACGGCTTACCTTATTTTTTCATTTGTACTCTTTAGGTTATATCTTAATGTTTGTTCATCCTTCAGAAAAATTGGCGTTGTTTGTAGCTCTGTAACAATTTTTTTCCAGACATGATGCAATATTGTTGTAGACATATTAAATAGAAATATCTCTATTGTTGAAGACCGTATGATGATCATTAGATACATTTGTAGTGTCGTTGGGTTACTGTCTCACATCAACTCGATAATCCCATTTCTGGTAAAACTTAGATGTGTCGATACGACTGCAGCTTTATAGTTAAAAGTGTCTGTATGGCACGAATAACCCCGCCTGCAGTCTTAAAGCTAAATATATTTCTGGTATTCAAATTAAGATGAGGTGAATACGGGACACTGTGTTCATGTAACGGCTTATATGGCGAAATTGAGAAAATTATTATGTATTTGTTGAATGGGAAGCCGTTAACCAAAGCGACAAATGCTGATCACCAGAAATTCAAACTTTCCACAAGCGGAACATTTAAGAGATCGAAATGTAAGTCTTCATTATACACTTCTACCCAAAAAAAATCAGCCCTAAATTTGCACTCATTATAAAAAAAGTCCCGTACACTTTTATGCAAATTTAGTAAGATAATATTAGTTGTGAATTTGCATTGAAGAGATGTAATACATATTTTTTTTTTTGCTTTAGTGTCTTTCTGGAACATTTTAATATCAATGTATTTTGGGGCTTAAATTCCGTC